ATTTGAATGAAAGAGTATTTTTATTCAAAGTGATCTATGATGGCTAGAGTTGGGAAATAAGAAGAACAATAGGATAATTTTAACAATTAGAAAAGGATATGGCCAATAATATATTTTACAAAATTTTCTAAAAAAATAAGATCACATTTGAGTAATGCTTATTCATGCATAACTTTTTAATATCTCTTTTAATTTAATTAAGATGGTGTAAGTTTATCATCAGGAACATTTAATAAATTATATTTTAATTCATCTAAAGCTTCTTTAGGTGCTAAACCAAGTTTAACTTATAGAGTTGTAATTTTCTTTTTAAGTTCATCATTATTTTAATCTGTTTCTAATTCCTATTATAATGACAATAATTGTTATTCTAATTAAGACTTCTTGTTTTATCTACTTTATTATATAGATTCCTATAATCTAACTCTCATTCTTTATCTATTTTCATCCTTTCTCTTTAAATCTTCTGCACTTACAATTTTCTATACAATAGGTATATCAATATATATTGGATCTAAAAATTACAATTAATCATCATAAAATCTATTTTATTCAGATATTTTATCTCTATATCCATAATATTATTATGGTCCCTAGAAATAACGCAATTAGAGTTCATAATCTATAGCCACACTAGTATATTATTTATGCCAATAATCCATTTAACCATATGTAAATTTCAAATGTGGATGTCTCAATTAGATTGTTTAATAAAAGTATTTCAAACTGTTTAAACCTCCCAAATTCAGTCTTTTGATATTTGAATATATCACTTGACCATTAACAATTGGTACTACATCTGTATCCCATTATGCTATCTAGTTTGATTGTTTATTAGAATCCTTAAATTAATTTATAAAACTGCGAATCACTACATCAGGGGCTTGAGTTGTTGCATAGCCCTTTCAATAAAACAATGCTATTGATGTTTGATTATCGATTATCCATAATCTATAAAGATAGGCACATCATTTTTTGCACTTGCATAATTATCTCTCATATAATTCATTATTGATAATTAATTTAGTAAATTTTAAACTTTATGAACTAAATAAATGTATTCAAAATATCAACTAAATGCAAATGGAATCTATATATGTACATTTTATGATTTTTAATAAATCATTCTTTCAAATACAAACATGTTTGAATTTCTTCAACGTGATATAACTCTGATTGGTTAGTGTAAACTTTTTTAAATATTATAATATCTTAAATTGATCACATATTTGTATTAAAAATTTATAAATAAAGCTTAAACATATCAAGTATATCTATCATTTGATTCCAACATCAATTTTTAGGCATTTCCAAATACCTTTCTTAACTTTATCTCCTTTATAATCAGAACTATTAAATCAAATAATAAATCTTATAAGATCGCATAGAAATTTAATAAATCTTTCTTTAAAGAGGGAGGCTTTATTTATAATGTTTCTTTATTAGTAATTGAATTAGGATATTAAGATATTCCAAATAAATTTTTCAGAATCTCTTTAACTTAACATTAACTTGCAGGTGAAAATGTTATATTATCACTTACAACAATTAATATTATGATTAAATGATTATTTACATATAGAAATATTTTCTAATAAAAATTGGAGATTTAAATTTATATTTTAAGAAAAAAATAATATGATACTTAAATTGCTTTATTAATTTCAATTTAAATAAGTTAATATTATGCTTAATTTTTTTAAATGATTTATCCAGATAAGGTTGTATTGAATTGATATATTGATCTATTTCTAATTTTCCAAGTTAATTAGATAAATCATTAAAAAAAGTTTAATTTTTATATATTAAAGTATTTCTAATATCAAACAACCACTTCTACTGTCTCCCTTAATGATTTGGCATTTTAAAGCTAAAAAATAATTTTTAAGACATTATTTTCTTCGATAATAACTTATGAGAAAATTCTACAAATTCTCATTATCTGTTACTGATGAAAATAGTTTTTAAGTAACAAATAGCTCCATCAATATCATAGTAGAAATATTACAATAATATCATGGTTTCGTAATAAATTATTTATATTTTATAGATTGTTTTATAATTTTAATGTAAAAGTTATTTAAATTGTAAAATTTAATTTTATAGATATATAAATAAATTATTTAATACTATTATTTAACCCATATCCTAAATAATTTATCATTTCGTTAATTTCCTTTAAGCATTGCAAGGGTTCTCAACTATACAAAAGATTTCTTATTTAAGATCATGATGTTCAGATGTCTTTGAGGTTTTGCATTTTTACCAAATTGGATGAACAATTTTAATTAGATCAATTATTAAAGTCATAAATAGTATAGTGCTCATTAAACTGATAATAATCCAACCTATGATTATTAAAACATCTGGTTAATCTTGGTAAAAATCATTTACTAAGTACATCCCCAAAATAATAAATTATAAAAAATGAGATGCTAATTATTTAATATTTTCTGAAGGTAGCATTAGGATTTTTCGAATATACAGAAAGTATATAAATTGGAATTCATTTAAAAGGCATAACAATATTTGTATTTATGAGGATTCAAAAAAGAAAATTAAAAATGAAATAAATAACATTTTTTGCATACACAAATAAGTAAAACTGTTACTCTTCTATGATTATATTTATTGTTTTTTAACTAATGGGATGCTAAATGAAGATCTTTATATCAATAGTAATATAACTCCATATAGGATTGAAATCGCAATAGAAACACCTAATTTACCTTCAAAATCAGATTTTTGAAATCTTAAGGCTAAAAATGTATTTAAACCAAATTCATAAATCATTGCTAAAAATATAGCTTAAATTGGTTCAATTATGCTGATTATTTAAATTCTTAGACAAAGTTTTTATATTGAATTTACTATAAGTAATAACATTTGATTAGATTAAAAACATGTCAATTAATGAATTTTTTTTAAGATTAAAAATGTTACTTTTTTTAAACAAAAATATGCAAGAAAAAATATAGCATAAACTAAAAATAATTATGCAAAATTATTTAAATAATTTGCATTCCTGTCATCCATTTCAAAAATAGGTTTAGAATGATAAAAAGATACAATATCCTTCATTGAACCATTAGGATTCATTCCAAGAAAATCAAAAAAATTGGTCAATTGTATAATTTTAAATGTCTCATAAAATCTTTGTAGGTTTACTCCAATTCTTGAATTTATGTATTTCAAATAATAAAGTTATTAAATAGTATCTAATAAATTGGAAATAATTTCTCCTTATCCAGATATAGATGATATAGCAATAGTCATTGCCACAATTTTGATTATGTAATCATTAAGTCCAATCAAAGATGTCATAACCTTTTATTCTTAATCTCTTAAAACATTTGATGAAGATAGTCTTATACTTATTGAATCTTATGATATCCCAGCTCCATCCTAATTAACTAAAATGCCTTTATCAACAAATCTTAATAAAAGAATAGGATTTTAAACATATTTAATATATTCAACAGATACTTAAATATCTACAAATTAAAGTTCTTATGTAATATTTGTTTTTGCTATAATTTAAATCAATGCTAAATCTGTCTAATTTTAAATCTCAAATTTTAAACTATCAAAATAATCTTATTCAGTTACTCCGGCTATTAATTACATTTTAGAAGTGTATTTAAGTCTGATAAATTATATCCCTTATTGTTCTCTTTCAAATTCTAATATTGGAAATGAAGAACTTAAAATAGCACATTCATTGTCTCTACATATACTATTTTCTGATTATGTACAATCATCATCACAACCATCTCCATTTATTAGATTACCATCATCGCATTATTCTAGATCAATCAAAACTCCATCTCCACATTAAGAAAAGCACATATTATCAAATAATTAATATCCAATAAAGCAAGTCAAACATTCATTAATTTCACAAAATTCACAATTTTTAATATTACAATTAGAATTATTATATTAATAGCATTTATAATCAAATAATTCATAACCTTCTTTGCATTAAAGACAATAATTTTAAGGCGAACATGTTTAACAATTAACACCACATTATAATTTGCATAAATTACATTCATCATCAGAAATTTCATTACCATCATCGCATTCTTCAAAAGGTTATATAGTTATTCCATCACCGCATAATGGTTTACAAGATAAACTTGTAAATGAATAATATAATCCATTTTCACAACTAATTTGCTCTCTATAACATTCACCTTTAATGCATTTACAACCTGGTTGACATGAATAGTAACATTTATGGCATCCATCATATTCAATATCATTGCCATCATCGCACTCCTCGTTCAAATATACAAAGCCATCTCCACAAATACTATAACATTAATTAGTCTCTTGATTATAATAACTTCCAGGTTAAGTGCATTATTATAGATATTCACATTAAAAAGTAGTTGGAGCAATAATTGTGTTAATTTAACAGAGAATACATTTTCCAAACTCACATATTTCACAGGTTTCACTACATTAATACTTGCATTAATAACATCCATCAAGTACCAAATAATTATTATCTTCACATTCTTCTGTTCCAGATATTATCCCATCTCCACAAATTGGTTCACATTTATTAGTAAATATATCTAATTTAAAATTCTTATAACAAATTATGCACTAATTATTTATCTAAATTTAACAATATTAAATTAATTAAGGTAAAACATCCATAATTTAAATTTTAAGTATTTCATTTTTTTTCTAAAATTCACAAATATTTTAAAGATCATTTAATAAATATCCTTATTGGCATTCTTAACAGATTCCTTAAATTGTTATTTTACAAAATTCAATTATATTTTATTTATATTATTCTTAAAAAGGTATTATTGGAATTTACCTAACATCCACACATTCACCATTAAAAGCTTCAAATCCATCAATACAAAATAAGCAAATTCCATTAAGACATTCCAAACATTCTGATTAACATTAATAAACACATTAATGACATCCATCAAATGGATATTAATTGCCATCATCACAATCCTCACCTTCTACAATCATTGAATCTCCACAAATGTTCCTACAATAACGATTTATAAGTTTAAAACCAACTTTACATGAAGTACACCCAATAGTTGTGCATGTTAAACAGGATTATTAACATGATAATCGACAATTATAACATCCATCTAACATTAGGGTGTTAAAGTCTTCACATTATTCATTTCCAACATAATATTTATCTCCACATGATTCAATACATAGTTTTGTATAAGGATCTAAAACCCATCCAAAAGTAAGACAATCACTGCAATATCCTTTGTTACATCTTGTACATTATGGTTAACATTCAATTTTACATTAATAGCATCCATCAAATTAAATGGTATTTGAATCATCACATTCTTCTAATCCACTAACAATGCCATCACCACAAATATCTATACAAGGTAATACAGTAGTAGCATCACAAACAGTACATTAAGCAGGACATTAAAATCTACAATTATGACATCCATCAAATTAGATTAAATTTCCATCATCACATTGTTCCTCAAATACAACTTATAAATCTCCGCAAATAGGTAAACATTAATTATTTATATTGTCATAACCAGATGGACAAACAAAAACTGCACAATTATTATCATGCCAAATGGAAATACCATCACCACAAATCTTATAACAAGATGTAAATAATGCATCTTCCACAGCTGGACATTATATACAAGAATCTTAACTATTATCATAATATCCTAATTGACATTTACAATCGAATCCATCCAAAATTCTAAATTGTGTTGAATGACAAGCTAAACAAGATGAATCTGATTATTCAAAACACTTTTCACATTTCATTGAACAAGATAAACATTACAATTAAAATTCATCAAAGTAATATCCATTATTACATTCACAAGTATTTTCATTTAATATTAAATTAACTAAAACTATGCATGCTTAACAATTCTTATTAGTAGGACCATTGCATTTGCTACAAAGTTTATCACATGGTTAACATTGTTCTATATTATTTTAGTCATAATAACCATCAAAACATAAACATTATCCATTTTCTAAATATCTTAAAGATGTAGATTCACAATGTATACAATAGCTACTTGATTAACATTATTTACAAGTATAATTGCAATCTAAACAATTAGTGCCATCATAGTATTAATTAAGTTGACAATTTAAAATACAAGTTGTAGTTACTAATCTATAGTTAGGCTTACATGTTTAACAATCATATTCATTTAAACAAGTAAGACATTCATTAGGACAATTTTCACATGTAGAAGTAGTATCATCTAGAAACTAATTTGATAAACATTATGATTATTCTACTTTTACTATGCTTGAATCATAAGCCATCCAAACATCACATGTCAATTCATTTGAACATTAATTGCAATATGGTTTACAGTAATGAACAACAATATAGTAGTTTGATAATCCACAATAGGAATCAATAACATTAACACCATAACATTATATTGCAATTGTTAAAGTAGGATTATAGGTTAAGACCTATTCTATAATTTAAACTGGATTAACTGAATATAAAACTCTGTTTTCAGTACCATTATTGATTTCATATGAAAAATAATTTAGAGGGGAATTCGGAAAATTTGGACCAAAAATAATCTAAAAATATATTGTTAAAGAATGATGTGGATTTAAAGTATATATCTGGGAAAATCTTGATTATGCCCAAACAAATTTTCCACCAAAAATAATTTTATTAGGAAGATAAGACCAAAAAATATCTAATCCTTTTTTTAAATCCATTAAAGAATTTTATTCTAATACAAAAGTTGCATTTAAAGTATCTTTTACTGTGAAATCATAGAATTCTTTAATCAAATATTTGGAATCTATATTAGATAAGATTTAATATTACATTTAGTTACTTAATCATAATATGTACAAATAGAATTGATTAAAAGGGAATTTACAGGACAATTAGATTAGGAACAAGTGCCATCTGAAACTTTGTAGAATCCACTTGCACAAGTTTGACACATATATCTTTTATTACAAAGTATACAATTAAGAGGACAAAAACCAGATGTAAGTGTGAATAATCTTAAAAACCACCCTGCATTAGGTTGACTATTTAATATAAATTTGAATACGTAAAGTTTCCTTGGATTACAAAAATAAATTTCTTATCTAAAATGTTTAAAAACATATCAAGTTCAATAAAAATATTATTTGTACAACTCCCTGTATTTGGATGCGACTTAAAATCTCTTAAATTTACATTATGATATTGGAATTGGGTTCCATCATAATAAGTTGAACCATAATAAGTAGAATTAATATAAAAAGACACACCTGATCCTGCTGGAGTAGTATTACAATAAATTAGTTGAACTTGCACTCCAAAAGTATAAAATCCATTATTTATGTCTAAAGAAATGTAAGTCCCTTCTCTAAAGTGAAATACTCCATAATTGTAAGGGGAAACTTTTTTGTTTGAAACATCAATATGCTATGGATCATATAATATATTCCAATTTAATAGTGTAGACAAATCTAAATTAACTAAATTAGACTAAAAAAATTATGTATGTTTGAAGCCAACACAAATCCGATTTTACGACTTGACTATTGAGTTTTGAATAGGGCATTATTCTATGCAAACCCCATTAGACAACCTACTTTATCTAATTGAACATCTACTAAATATTACATCCCAAGCTTAACAATCTATCAAGTTTGGTCCATTGCATTATAAGCATTTTGGATAGCATGATAAATAGCCAACATGCACATTTCGAATTAACGCTTGATTTATTGAGTTAAGTATGTAAAAAACAGGATAAGTTGAATTATTTGATGTGTAAGGTAAGATTAGATAAAATGTTTTAATTTCGAATTAAATTGAATCACACAACCCCTCTGAAAATTATAAAGGATCTAATGTTGTATATCTGACTTGAAATAAATGATTATCATAAAGGATTTCTATGGCGTCATCTACCCATTAAGATGTGAAATAGACATCAAATAGCAATAATTTATACGCATTAGGTGCTTAAGGGCTTAATGTTGTTGTATTTTAAATGACAGATATTTATAGGTTGTCTAAAACGATTGCAGTTTATGGTGAACTTGAACAATTTACAAATTTGGCTGGACTATTTGTTAAAAAGTTTTTGAAACCATAAATGCAATTAATATTAGTACAATAAATATTCTTAGCTTCGTAAACTCCATTATAGATATTAGTCCATTAAGAATTAAGCTAACAATACATCTTTGTTAGACATAAGAGAAAAAGGAAAATCATAATTAATTTATCCATGAAAAATATTATTAATACTAATCTTTAATAATGTTCATATTGTAATTATATTAATTGTTAATAATACTCTTTTTTTGGTATTAATTTTTTCAAACATAATAAATTTTCTATGTTTTTGTAATTAACTGAAATGAAATATTTTTTTTTTTAATTGCTTATTTCCTATCTTTGTTCATTTCCTGAATAGTTTTATAACAAAAGATTGTTGTTTAAAAATTAGAATGAGATATTAATAATAATTTTACATATTTTAATATTATGATTAATAAAATAAATACCTAATATTCAAGTTTAGGTCCAATCTTTATAACAAAGGCTACTTATCATTAAATTTTGAATCAATTATTCCATATCAAATATTCTTTTTTATTATAAGTATGTCTAATTGAGTGAGCATTCAATATATAGAATAATATAAAATTATTTAATTGATGTATTAATAGTTATTCTATTGTATAAATTAAATTTTATTAACCAATTTTCACCTAATCATAATATGTATAATCTATATTTTTATTAATAAATAATCATATAAGAAGAGAATTATATATATTGATGGAGAATAAAATAAAGTTAATAAATTGTTATAAAAAATAGTTAATATTTTTCTTACTATTTATAAATTCAAAGCTATTAACTAATATTTATGTTTATGCTAATTAACATATTTATATATATTTTCGAAATGGGAGATTTGAATTCAATTTATTTTATCAATAATTTTATTATATAAATTGATATATTTATTAATATAATATTTTATATCAAATTATCTCTATTATCATTATATTTAAGTTAAATCTAATAAATTCAGATATTAGTCTATTCTATGGTAGTGTAATTTCTTTTTTAGAATTAATAATTTAAATAATGTTTCTTTAATGTAAATGAATAAAACATATATCACTATATACAAATAATTTTATATTTGTCTTATCATATAAAGATGAGACTTTCTGAAGATTTTCTAGACCATCCACATTCATTTCCAGTCATTAAAAAATTTTAATTTTTGTATGAATTAGTAAATAATGAGTTTCTGAGAGTTTTCCTTCTATTTAAATCACTATATTAAGGTTTTTTGCCTTGTATTGAACCTTAAAACCTTAAACTTTAAAGTGGTGACTTTACAGAAAATATGATTTTTTAAATCATCAAGGCTTTGTCTTCATTATCTGAAGTTGATGTATTTACATGAGAATTATAATTTGATTATTTTCTTGAATCAGATGACGACAATTTAAAGTAATTACTAAATTTAATTGGTTCTCTGTTCTCAGATTTGTACTATAACTTAAATTTCTGACTTCTCATTGTTTTTATTCTTCTACTTTGTTCAGTTTGCATTCTCTAACAACTTAAATTGTTAATGGACATTTAATTAGACATTACTTGTGAAGTTGAGTTTATTCTTATTTTTTATCTTGGGCAGTAAATAGATATCAGTGTTGCATTTTTGTTTTTATTACCTTACATCTATCTTTATATTTAATTTATATTAATTATTGTAAGAATCAAATTAGATAAACATTTCCTGAAAATGGTTTTCAGTAATATTTAAATCACGTCATCAATATTATATTAATATTTTTATAAAAAGATTCATTTATATTACATTATAAGCTTGTGCATTCATTAAACAATATACATTGTGTATTTTTTTAGATTAAATTATTTTCTTTTTAACAAAATATAAATCTAACTTAATATTACAAAAATCTATCTATTTGAATGAGGTTTGGTTTATAAGCATTTGTCAATCGAATAATCTATAATTTCATCCTAATCTCAATTCTTTTTTCATTTAGTTTTTATGAAAGTAATTTTTCTAAAAATTTGTTTAGTTATGTTTATAGTATATATTTTTATATTCCTTCAATATTTGCAGTTGAATAGCATTATAGATTATTTATCATAATCATTTTATTATAAACAATTAATTTCTACTTTAATACTTTCCATATTGAAATCCATTTATATCAAAGTTAGAACTTAATTAATCATCCTTATTACTTTATGGACATACTTTTGACCAATATTCATAATATAATTTTTAATTATAAAAAATTCTTTTTATTTAGATTGATTTCATATTATTGAGAAATTATTTTTCATTTCATATAGTTTTTTTATTTATTATTATTTATGGGGTATTGGTAATTAAGTATTTAAGCAAAAATTATATAATATTTAAATATCTAATTCATGCTTAATATTCTAAATTGTTTTAATAATTATTGATTATTGAATGATATTTAAATATTATTAATTTTATAGAAGTTACAGATGTTTGTTTAGAATTTTAATTTATTTCAAACTATGAATAATTATTTAAAATCTAGTAATACAAACATTTATTGAAATATTATTGTGTACTAATATTCAATAATTTGTAGGAATAAATTTATTAAAATTCTTATAATAATGATCTTTGGAGCATAAAATTAATATTTAGAATAAAAATTTAATTTTTATGCAGTTAAATGAAAATGAAGAAAAAATCATAAAAGACTTATTCAAAAAAGTATGATCTCATTCATTATATTAAAGGTTACTTTATATTATAAAGATTATATGTCTATGCCAGATGATGGTGATTTTCCTAATCAAAACTGTGTAGATGATATTGCAGCATCATTTAGAATAATTTGTTAAATAGTTGAATCATTTTTGATAGGTTATAAATAATTATAACATCAGCATGTTTTATTAGAATAAAAATTAGTTGAAGCTGAATAAGAAATTAGAAATCATATAAGAGTAAATCTTAATATTATAAAAGATTTAACAAGAAATAAAGGTTTGGGGAGATTCTTTACAGGATGAGATCATATCTTTAAAATAGGACTTAAAACGATAGAAAGTAAAAGTGTTGGTAAAAAACAAATTTAATGAATTCTTAAGACTCTTGAAAGAGATTTAAGTTTATAGAAAAATTATAAAAATGCATGTACAAGTTAAGAAAGATTACCAACAGAAACAACGTAAGATAGGCAAGAAAAAATGTTGAGTTTGTTGTCTTCTCAAAAATCAAGATAAATATAAGGTTAAGGATATAAAAAGAAAAATATGAAACTTTAATATTTTGAAGATAAATAGTAAATTATTTTTATATAATAAGAAACAAGTCCTTTACACAACTTGCCTAATAGTTCTTAAATTCATCATTATCTAAAACATTAAGATCTGGAATAGTCACTTAGAAAAAGAAAAAAGCCACTACTAAATAATGTAAAACAAACTAAGTTAATCTAAAAATTAAAAATTAAAGGTGTCATTCTTAATAAGAAAGAGCCAAAACATTAAATGATTAATCGTTTTACTATTGAAATAAGAGTTATTATATTAAATAAAATACTTGTTTTTTTAAATGAAACTTTTTCATACAACTTTGAACCCATTAAACTTGGTATCTTTTAATTATTTTGATTTAAAAATTGGCATAGAATGACAGAGTTTCAAGGGTGTAAACAATAAACCTTAAAAAATCTATGACGTTGTTATTGAATGATAAAATAATTAAATTATACTTGCTGAGGCAGCAGTATGTAATATTCATAAGCCCTATTAAACTATATTAAGAGAAAAAAAAAAAATTTCATGAATTTATATAAAATTTAAGTTTTTGATCATTATTAAGTTTTATATATATCATTTTATAGAGCTCTATTAAAAATTCATGATTTCTAAATTAAGAAATTAATATTCTGAAATTTGAAAATACTCAGTATTTAAAGTTTGAGATCTTCTTTAAAATATTTCAAAAAAATTTAAATAATTTTTCTTATCCCCTAAAGTTGATAATTTTAATAATAAAGTAATTTATTTATTATTTGATACAATTAAAGAAAGGTCTTAAAATTGGTAAACATACTTTATGATTCTTAAATCTCACAAAAAAAAGTGATATTTCAAATTTCCATATATAGATACATCAAAATGTAAATGGTTAAAATTTTGTACAATAACAATTAATTAATATTTATCAGAAATTATTTATATGATAGATTCTTAAACTTAATAGAGATTTAGAGATATTTAATATAATAAAATAGATGTTTAACCTATTAATCATACTACAATAAAGGATTTAATTGGAACCTTAAATAATAAAGTATTTGATGAAAAATTCGAATAAAAATACTCAAATTATTTGAATGAAAGAGTATTTTTATTCAAAGTGATTTATGATGGTTAAGGTTGGGAAATAAGAAGAACAATAGGATAATTTTAACAATTAGAAAAGGATATGGCGAATAATATATTTTATTTCATTTTCCATAAAAAGAAAATTACAGGTAGTTTAGAAAGGGATGATCCAAAAAAAACATTAGTTTTACTTCATAAATTCTTAAAGATGATAACAAGCAATGAAATTATTCCATAATGTGTATTAACATTTTTAGAGATTTCTTGTATCAATTTGCCATTCAAAATGAAAGAAGGCTTTATGGAAAAGAAATCTGGTGGTAGATCAACTAGAACATGTTGTTAGTCATTAGAAACAAAGCTTGCAAAATGGGACAAGAGGTATTTTATTATAACTTAATAATCCCTTCTCTACTTAAAAGGACCTGAAAAGGAAAGATGTTAAATTAGAGAATGTCTAAGTTTTGACAATGATTTCAGTTTTTTGTATGGAAAAAAGGAGACAGGAGATGATAATAAAATAATAATATTCTTTTCATAGAGGAAATTAATCTTGAAAGCTGAAAATTTGACAGCTTACATAGACTTTATCTATTCTCTATTTAAATCGATAAAGGAAAGTCCATATACAAAGTTGCATAGATTTGGATCGTTTTCTCCTATAAGGACTTCAGATTGTAAATGGTATATTGATGGAGATTAATATTTTGAAGATGTTTGTGATGCAATCTTGTAAGCTAAAGAAACTATATATATTACTGATTGGTGGTTGAGTCCAGAAATGTATTTAAAGAGACCTGTTGACGTTAGGAAATATGCTTAATCGAGTGAATTTCTTTATACTAGACTTGATAATGTATTGAAATTAGCAGCTGATAAAGGAGTTAAAGTTTTAGTATTATTGTACAATGCTTTACTATCATTTTTATATAATGATCCAAAACATTCAAAAATGTAATTAGAAAGTATGTCTCCAAATATTAGGGTATTAAAACATCCATCTCAAGCAATACCTAAATTATTTTCTCATCATGAAAAAATGGTTGTTATAGATTAAAAAATTGGATTTATGGGTGGTTTAGATTTATGTTTTGGAAGATGGGATAATTAAAAACATCTTTTATTTGATGTTCATCCTTTTGAATAATTATGGCCTTAAATTGATTTTTCAAATTCTAGAGTTAGAGATTTCTTTGATGTAAGAAATTACGAATAAACACTTTTAAAAGAAAATGAACCAAGAATGCCTTGGCATGATATAGCTATTTGTAATTATTTATTATATTTTTATAGAAATTAAAGGAGATTCAGTTATTGATTTATCAAGGCATTTTGTTTAATATTGGAATCATGTAATGATGACTAAATAAAAAAAGAAAAAGTAGGAATTAATACATGCTAATGATTTAAAAATGGAAGGATTTGTTCCTACTGATACTTCAAGTTTTATTGATTATTCAAATGTTGTTTATGCTGGAAGAAAAGAGTCTTTAATTTAAATGAAGCAGCCTATTCTTTTAGATTAAATAAAAACGAAAGAAGTTTAAATAGAAATGAATTAAACAATTTAATAAGATGATTATGAAAATTAACGCTAATCTAATGCATAGCTATTTATTCAATAGCAATATAAAGATTTTATTAATTAATAGATGTAAGAAAAAAAATTAATACCAACAGTAGATGATGATGATGAAGAATAAAACTATTATATTTTAGAAAGTAAATTAATTAATTAAGATAAATGGAAAAGTAAAATTAAAGCTGAAAAATCTGATTTAAAAGTTTTAAAGAATTCTGGAATGTAAGCAAAAATGAATTTAGAATTTTTCATTCCTCATATAGAGATGAATTAAAATTAATGTATTTTTTCCATCTTCATTTATAGAAAGTTGCATTACATAATTAACAAGATCATCTGGTACATGGTCAACTGGCATTAAATAAACTGAGAAATCTATTTAAAATGCTTATCTCTCTCTTATTTAAGATGCTAAACATTATATTTATATTGAAAATCAATTCTTTATTAGTAATACAGCTGGTTATCCTGTTAAAAATTTAGTGGCTAATGCTCTAATATCTAGAATTAAAGAAGCACATGAAAAGTAATAGAGATTTAAAGTTATTGTCTTTGTTCCATTATTACCAGGTTTTGAAGGTGAAATTGATTAATCAAATTCTGCTGTTCTCAAAGTTTAATTACATTTTGAATATCAAACCATAAGTAGAGGAGGCAAATCTATAATAGAAACCTTAAAACAAGATGGAATCAAACCAGAAAATTACATTTAATTCTTCGGTCTTAGATAACATGAATTATCTCCAGAACCAAATTCAATACCTGTGACTGAAATTATTTATATTCATTCAAAATTAATCATAGTTGATGATGAAATTGCATTAATAGGATCTGCAAATATCAATGATAGAAGTTTATTAGGAAATAGAGATTCAGAACTTGCAATTATTGTTTAAGATTAAATAAAAGTTGATTCTATAATGAATGGTATACCATATAAAGCATCTAAATTTGCACATACTCTTCGTACTGCACTTTATATGGAACATTTTGATATGAAATATGAATAAGTTATTGATCCCTTGAGTTTATAATTTGAAAAGGAATCAACTGCATAAGCTAACATTAATACAAGAATTTATAAATAAATTTTTGCTTGTTACCCTCATGATGATATTAAGAAAGTATCTGATTATGAAGAAGTATTCAATTATTTAATTAATTTTAGTTTAAAGCAAAAAAACATTTAGATGAATATGATTAATTAAAGTAGTTTATTAAAGGTTTTGCAGTAACTTTCCCATTATAATTTTTATGTGAAGAAAATTTAAATATTAAAGTTTCATAAAAAGAATACTTAGTTCCTGAAATAAGTTTCACATGACATTTTTGTATAATCGTTAATTTATGTTAAAATTATATACATTAATCAAAAATATATTCAAAAATGGATAAAATTTAAATATATCCTAATTAAAAATTGGATCATTTAAAGTACTTTATTAGATCTATATTTGTTTTATAAGTCTTATTCTTTAACAATTATATGTAAAATTTAGAATTAAGATATTTATTAATTAAAAAAAACAATTAATCATGATGATACTGTTTTTGTTTTGAAATAATGTTAATAATTTATGATATATTTAGGATATTAATTTTGAGAAAAGAAAAAGTTTAATAAAATGATGTTATTGAATTATAATTATATTTATAATTCAATAATAATTTATGTTTGATAGATTCGGACTTTTAGAGCCATATCGATCTTAATCTGAAATCATGAGGATCAATGATCATTCAATTTGGCTTGGTGATTATTCAGCTGCATTAGATATTGTTAATTTAAAAGTTAATAATATAAAAAGTGTATTGTCAATTATTCATTCTATGGATGTTAAATATACAGATATCAATCATAAAATCATATATATAAAAGATAAACCAGATATTGATATATTCTAATACTTTGATGTTACAAATGAATTTATTGAATCAGCTTTATAATAAGGTTCATTATTAGTTCATTGTTCAATGGGAATAAGTCGTTCACCTGCAATTGTTATAGCATATATTATGATGAAATTTAAATATCCTTTTTCAAAAGCTTATCATATAGTTAGAAAGAAGAGACCAATAATTTGTCCAAATTTTGGATTTTCATTCTAACTAAAATAATATGAAAGGATTTGTATATAACCTAAAATAATGCCAGAAGTTGTTTATAAAGAATTTAAATGTCCTCCTATTTAATAAGTGAGAAGTATAAGTTTAAGAAAGTCTCCATAATAATAGTTTATTAATAGTTAAGTTTAGAGTGAAAGATAATAAAATAATACAAATACTTCTCTAAGTGCAAGTTCAGAAAGGAAAACAATACATTAGAAAAGAAAATAAAAAGAAAAGAAGTTACCTTAACTTCAACCTTAAATTAATTTTGGTTCTTACAATACAATTAAAGAATTTGCAGAGAAATTAAAAGCTTCAAGATTAATTCAAATAAAATACAATTGATATTTATTATATATATCTTATTACTAATAAAAAATACTAAAATTTACTTAATTATATATAGAATATATATTATTTATTATAAAAGAAAGAATGGAATAATGATGAATAGTTAGTTACATAAATTTAATCATATTCAGTAACAAATAATTGATTGTTTTATTAATTGCTGAATTATTCATCTTCTTTGTCTATTTTTTTTAAACAAATTTGATATGCATTTGCAATATCTTTAACAGCAACTAATAGGTTAACGAAATGATCTTCTTAATCCACTGAATTTCAGAATATGATCCAATCCTTACTATGCCCAATCCCGAATATCGAATTCATAAATATCAATTTCGAAATTAAATTAAAGACATTGTAAAACATTTGATAAAAATCTTAAACTAGATGAATAAATTAAATCATAGTGTTGTTATTCTAGATGCTATTAAATGACTAAATAAAGATACCTTAATGTCTCTATATACAGTCTCACTGAAATATTCAGCATCAGTCTAATATAGTTCTTCAAAGTTGGATGCTTCAAAGTCGACTTATTTTATTAAGTATAGTAGGTCTTTTAATTGATCAACCATCTATTAGAACAATTCTTCAAACTTCTTCAGCAATTCTATCTTCTCATTTAATGGAGACAAACCCTTAATTAACTAAAAACAAACCTGCTAATATTTCAATTAAATGCATATTATAGTACACTTCTAAATGATTCAAGTAATAAGATTTTCCTTTTTATATCGAATTTGTAATAGATTGAGAAACACTGTTATTAAAGGATGATCTGCTCTTTCCTAAACTTCTTGTAAATCTATTATTTGTAGATGCTGGCTCAGTAGCTTCTTATCCAGATTTTTAGCGACTATCTAATCCTTAATAATGATGAATGCGATTCATTTAATTATTATTTTATGATATTTTTGTATGTTCTAAGCAAAAATAAAACAACATTTTAATGAGAACTATAAGAAATTACTAAATTAATACACTCTCAAATAGTTAATACTGGAGAAGTAAAATTTCAATAATGATATTCCACACAAAATTTAAATTATAAGAACTTTAATGTTATTCTAGGACAAAAGAATTTTTAATTATATTCAGAAAGACTTACTTTATGATAAATATTTGCAATATTATATATAATGAGTTTATTACTATAATAAAAGATTATTATTACTATATCATATAAGAAAATTTAGAAATATTCTTTTCTCATTTAATAATAATTAATTTAGAAATGAGTACATGAGTGATTTATGCATAATATGACTATTTTCAAATGTGTTTAAAAAAAAATATGAAAAAAAAATCATTTATATTAAATAATATCAAATATTTGTTATCCTACTATTATTAAATATACATTCTCTTAATCATAATAATATTTTTATTAATTATAAGAAAGTTATTAGATTATTAAGAAACTTTTAAAGATAAATTTGTAATTTGATTATTCTATATACATAGAGTTTAGTCATTAAATTATTTATAATAAACTGGAAGATGTATTTCTAGTCCAACAATTTAAAGAGTTTTTAGATGGACTATGTAGTTAATTCTTTTCTATATTAGGCAATCTAATATTAATTTTTGTATGCTCTTTTGATTATTATTCATTACTACTTGAGAATTGACAAAAAGATTTTGTAGGTAATCTTTTTGGTTATGAATATTTCCTTTGAGTAACTTTTACACTCATCGAATTAGGTTAAATTATTCTTAAACAAGAATTATAATCTAATAAATCAGGTATTTTTTGATATTTATTACTTTTTGATTATCTAGCCTTTTTTACTCTCATTTTTTATACTTATATTTTATAATACATTGATGAATTGTTATCATAGTTGATAGTTGGGGTTAACTTTATTTCTTTTTTAATGTTGTAATATTTATTTTTTTGAGAGACTATGTGAATAGGTTCAAAATATAGGAAGTCTTAAAACTTGTTATTTATTTCAATATTATAAAATAAAGAGGTATGTAAAGGAGGATCTAAACTATATTAAGCAGTGCTCATTATGTAAATTTAGTTAAATATATTTATATAGATAAAGTCAATAATACTTAAATTATTTGATTCATAGACTTTTAAGATTAATCAGAATGATAACTAATTAAAGAGATAGTAATTTGAATAACTTAACATCCAAATTTATTATATCAAAGATTATTCACTTACATTTGAGTTTTGATAAATTTAAGTTTCTTGAAATACTGTATATATTAAATTTATACTAATTAATATATGAAACACGATTTTATTAAGGAAAGGGATTTCAAAATAATAGAGAAAATTGGGGAAGGTGCCTTTGGTTAAGTATATAAGGGATTGTATAAAGGAGAAGAAGTTGCAATAAAAGTAAAAAATTGTGAAATGCATAGTCTATGTAAGGTGCATAATTATAGGAAACATCAATAATGGAGAATCTTAAACACAAAAACATTATTAAATTTTATAAGGTAGAATTTGTTTTGATTTTATATAGTATTTTAAATAGGGAAACAATCAATACTTAGTAATGGAATATGCTGGAGGTGGTTCTTTGAGTGATTACATGAAATAAAATTTAGATGAAGAAACAATAAGCAAAATAATGAAATCTATATTTGCAGCTATAGAGTATCTTCATTCTCAATAGATTATTCATAGAGATATTAAACCAGGTAATATTTTGAATACTAAACATAATTAGATAATATCTTAATATAAAATAGTGAAGATCTTTCAAGTGTTAAGATTGCTGACTTTGGTTTAAGTTATTAGTATATGCCAGAAATTCGATATTATTAAACAGTTTCGTAATAATGTGGCACATTTATATTTATGGCACCTGAATAAATATTAAATAAAGCATACAATAAAGCAGTTGATATGTGGTCATGTGGTGTTGTCTTATATATGTTATTAAATCAAGGCAAACATCCATTTTATCCTCGAATTTCTACCAAAAAAGAATTCATCAATAGTTTTCCAGATCTAAAATATGAATAACCTTTACATGCATCATTATTGGCAAGAGATCTTCTATAAAGATTATTATAATATGATAAGGATTCTCGATATACAGCAGCATAAGCATTAGTACATCCATGGATCACTCGAAATTTTAGTCAATCAATTCCAATGAGTGTAAAAGAATTTGGCATTTGTTAAGAATAAAAAAAGAAAGTATAAATTTTTATTATTATTAGTTTTTTCAATTCTTAAAAGCTATATTATTTTTAAATCAAATTTAATAGGATTCAATAAAGTAATCTCCTATTCAATCTAAAACTGATTTAGGAGATTTTAAAATATCAATAGTTGAGTTTGATGAAGACAACTATGAATAAGAATATTAAGATACAAATAGTCCTAAAAATTAGTTATTCTTAAATAAGTTATCTATTCAAAGACCAAATAAAATATTAAAATCTTATCGCACTCTCAATAATATCCCTTATAAAAGTAAACATTATCAATTAAATTCAATTCTTAATTAAACAAATGAGTCACCTATAAGAGATTTAAAAAAACTTAAATTTTAACAGTAATTTAGCATTGATAATGAATAAATGATAATTCCAATAGATCCAGAGTCTCCTAAAAAATATCTAAGAGGTACCTAATCAAACAAATTCCTTTTACCTGCATTAACAGAATCAACATAAATTTCTCTCAGTCCTATAAAACAAAAATAAAAACCACATATTAAATAAAACTCTTTTAGAAAATCAGAAACTTCTTTTTTTATGGGTTTGAATAGATTGAATAATGATTCTGCTTTAGAGACAGGAACATTTAGAAATAGAGTTGAAACTTATGACAGAACTTAAATACCTGTTATAAACACTTAAAGGTTTTATGGAAGAAATACATTTACAAATTTAGTGACATCTCCAAAGAATAGCATTGCTTCATCAACCAATCTTCTTATTCCAAAGAAAATAATATGATAAAAGTTTAAATATGAATAAAATCAAATCAAACTTAAATTTCTTATTTTTAATATGTATTTGTTTTCTAAATTTGTGAATAGATTTTTATTTAAAAATTTCTTAAAAATTTTAATTTAATACTTATTTTAGTGATATAAATTAAATATTATCTTCATATATAAAAAATAAATTAATAACTAATCAACACAATAAATTTTAGATTATCAAATAGAATTAATTTATTTAAGATCTATCGTTAAAATTTATAGATTTAATTAGATTTTTTATTTAATTATTATTTAATTAGATATATAAACTAATTTGATTAGGGTTTAAAGTACTTAGTAACATATTTTTTTATTATGTGAAAAATGTTCAATTTATATATTATATCAAACGGAGTTTCATTGTTCTAATTCATTCTACTATTAGAGTTCTTATTGTTAATCATCTGATAAATTAATTTCTTATCTTTTTTTTCTCTCTTATAAATCTATTATTATTATAAAAATTATACCTTAATTGCTTATTAATTGAGATTATGTTAATAATTATTATTACAAATCTTCTATTAGTTGATCTTTTTTCAAAGAATCTTCTAAATTTTCACTATTAATTTTTTTCAATTCATCATTCTCTTACAATATTTAATTCATTTTTTAATAATAGTCTTATTGTTAAATATAATCTAATTTTTCTTGTAATTATTAGATAGTTTAATTTAATTATAATATTTCTTATTCATAAAGTTAACCATTTTAAGAATTTTCTTAAAATTAATCTTTATGGTTTTAATTAGCAGATAGTCTTTATTATAATGATTGAACCATTTAATATTATTATTATAAAAAAGATTCTTTATCTTCTATTTCTTAATTTAATTCATTAATTTTTTGAAGTGCCTCACTTAATCTATTATAAGCCTCTAGAAATGATTAATAATTAGATACCTGTATAGTACATAGTAAGATCATCATATTTTTTTCTTAACTCTGATAAATTATTTAATTCTTATTTTAAATTTCTTTCATTTTCTTCATATTCTCCTATTTCTTCAGCCAACTATGATAAATTTTTCTTCCATTCTTTAAGAAATTAAGTTTAATTTATTTCTTTTTCTTAATCATCTTCATCTTCATTTTCTGATTCTGATTTCATTAATAAATTCATAATTTTAGATTATTTGTATATTTTTCTTAATTCTTACAAAAACATTTGTTAACTTTTAATTAGATCTTTATTTTTTCTTCTTTCTTCATTTAATTCATTTTATACTATATAAATATTTATAATTTTTACATTCATTTTTCTATAATTCATCATTTTAATTTTAATTTTATTCATGTTGTATATGTCCATTTTTAACTTATTCTTTTTAATTTTCTTCAATATGTTCTATTATCATTGTTGTATCATTGGAATTTAAATATGTTTTTTAAAATTAAGATAATTATTAAGATAATTCATAAATGCTTTTATTATTTTATAAATTTTAATTTTTTAATTCTTGAATTTAATTTAGAATAAGTTAACACTTTTATTTAATTTCTTTAGGAAGTTCATTTGTTAATTAACTATTATTATTTAAGGTTTATTATTATTATAATTGAGAATCTTCCTTATCTTAATCATTCAAATTATTATTCTATATTAAATCAATCTTAAAATATATATAAACTTAAATACCTATTATCCTTATTATTTATTTTATGTAGGAACTACTTTTGACATTATTCTTTTTTATTCATCAATTAATTATAATTCATCTTTATTTTTATTTTGATTTTAAGTATTTTTAAATTATATATCTAAACCATTTAGTTATTAATCATCAGCTTATAGTATTTTCTATTAAATATTACTATTTGATGGAGTTTTTTCAAGCTCTTTTATTTTCTTTTGTTTTTTTTCAGTTTCTTAATTTTAATGAAATTCAGAAGATTATATACCAATTTTTTTAGTCTACTCCTTTTCATTCTATTATTTAAATTCTTATTTTTTTTTGCCCACCTAATAAATAAATGTTTAATTTACATAATCTCTTTAAAATAATTGATAATAATGACCAGAACCTTGTGGAACTCTTGTTAAATTTTAATTTTTTCCTTTTTCTAATAAATTTAATTTAGTTTCTAGTTCTTTTAATTTTTTTTTCTAGACTTAGTTTTGAGTAACCATTGTATCATACTTACTTTACAATTTTAGAATTATATCATCGTACATGTTTTTTATTTTATTAAGCAGGTTTTCTGGTATTGAATTCAATTCTTACATTGTCTTAGAGATAAATGAATAATTTTTTATTAAATAATTAAATTTTATTTACATTTTTTATTTGATATTAAATGTCCTTCTATTTATGATAGAATTTGGTTTAATTTTCATAAAATTAAAGAAAGTCATACATGTATTATCATAAACATTTTTTGTAAATTATATATTTGTCAAAGGAATTAATCTCATATCTTTAATCAAAACCTGATATTGTTTTATTAACAAAGTTGTCTTGGTTTCTTTCTTACTCTAATAATTAACATTTCAAAGTGATCATTATATTGGAATTTATTGACTAATTAAGATCACAAATATATAGAGGTTATATATTTATGTTGTAGTTCTATTTGAAATATGTCTAAGCCATAATAGGGATTAAAGATGAGTCATCTACATCTTGGATAGGCATTTTATCATCAATAAGAAAAATCTAGTTTTTACTATTAATTAAATAATATTGCAAAATAATCTTATGAGATGCATAATTTGGTAATCTAGATGGTTCCTTTTATAACCATAAACTAAATAATAAATATTCTTAAGTGCAATGATGCATTTAAAATCCTAAATCTGAAATTAATTATGATAAATTCAATTGATGTTTATCTAATCTTAACCAGATTGCATTCAAATTTTTATTAATGCTATCTTATAATATTTGTTCTAATTTCTATTTTAATAATGATTGGTTGACCAAATATTTATCCAAACTTTAAGGGTTTATGTGAAGACAATCATAATTATCAACTTTTTGGATTAATGAAAAATAATACTTTTTTGTTATTCTTTACATAATAATAAATATATTTAATACATATATTATATAATAAGTGTTTGTTACATTTTAATATAAATATATATTGCAATTTTTAATCAATTTCTTCTATATTCAGACATTCTAAACATATTAATAAAACTTCATTTTAATTAAAGTGAAAGCAATTTCATTAGTAATTTAATGTTTGAATTAAAAGCATTTTACTCCTTTTAAATGTCTTAATTTAATTAATAAAAATCATATATCTAATTAAATAGGACTATATTATGAAGAAAATAAAAAAAAAAAACATAATTAATTTTAATAGAATTCTAAGGCATAAATATGAAAATAGAGAACAATTAAGCTTTCATCAGCGATTATATTATAGATTTAACTAAAAAAATTGGTGAAGGATAATTTGGAAAGATCTTTGATTGCATATCAAAAAAAAATAATACCCTAAAATTATGTGCTAAAGTAAAAATATTTTACCATTTAAGATAATAAACATTAATATTAAAAATGAAAAATTTTGTTTAAGAGAAAAAGAGATCTCTGAAAGAATTAAAAAAAATTAAGACAATCCTAATTTGGTTTCTGTTTTTCATGTTGAATTTATTCCAGATGAAAAATTATTTATTATAATTATGGAAAAATGTGATTCAAATTTACATGTATATTGGGAATAAAAAAAGAAATTTAACGATGATGAAATCAAATTATTTATACTTCAATTTCTTCATGGTTATGAGGTTCTTTATTAACAAAATATCATTCATAAAGATATCAAACCTGAAAATATATTAATTAAATATTAAAATGGAAACATTATTTTTAAAATTGGAGATTTTGGATTGGCAAAGGTTTACAAAAATAATTAAATCGAATTAGATGTTAGTAGAAACGGAACTCCTGCTTATTCTGCTCCAGAGGTCAGTACAATTGTGCATGATTAAGAAGTACATCAATAGTTAATGGACATCAAAAATATAATGCATGCCAAAAGTTAGATTGACATATTTTCGGTAACATAATTATATTAATAAAAAGCTTGGGATGATATTATATTAGATGATTTTTGGAAAATTTCCTTTTTAATTATCTATTTATTCTATTCAGGATTTTTTTTTAAATATTAAGAAAAATCCTCTTAAAATAACAGATAAATGTTCAATTTACGTATAATTAGTTGAAAAAATGCTTATTTATAATCCTAATGAGAGATTATCCTTTTAATACTTATATAATAATTTCAATTAGAATATTTAAAATTAATCACCCAATTTTTAGAATATCACTTTTTTTAAATTCACAGAATAGGATAAATCTAAAAATACATAAAATAATTAAAGTTAAATAGGGATAAAAATATTACAACATCCTTTCATTATTGACAATAGTAAAAATAAAGAATAATAATATAATTAATAACATTTGTAAACTCCAAAACATTAATTTAAAAATTAAAATCTTTAATTTTAAACTCCAAACCATTAAACTTTGAATCAACACCTTTAATTTTAAAATCAAACTATTTAATTCTAAAATGCTAATTATTAATTCTAAAATATTTAATAAAATATTAAAGTTATTCAACCTTAAAATTCTTAAATTATGACGTTCTCTAATGCGAATCCTCATTAATAAATAAAAGATTTCCTTAATTATTTAATGTAAATTTATTTAACTAAAATAGATGTGATTTATAAAATATTATGAATGATTCATTAAAATAATTAATTAATAATGTAAACTAATAAGTGTATATCAATGAGTTTACAATTAAATAACTTTAAAATCAATTTCCTTTTGAGATTTAAAAATTAGAGAAATATAAGCCAGATACACTGAAATTTTAATATTCTCTTATATGTTTAATAAAGAATCCCTAATGTAAATAAATTAATATTTCAAATTTAATTGAAATTAAGAATAATCTAACATAATATTATGTGAACCGAAATTGAACAATTATTATATTTGATTTTTATTAATAATATTCATATATTAAATAATTCCTAATAGATTCTAAAATTATAAAGAAATTCTATTCAAATACCAAATCTATGTAAAAAACACTATTAGATTATAAATATTATATTAAATTTTCATAAATAAAATAGTATTGTATGAGAGAAGAGAAGAAAGACTTAACAAAAATGATTGAGGTTCATCAGATAGGTTTTTAAAGATTTTCAAGAACATTATAAGGTAATTTAGATCATTGAAGAAGATTTGCATCTTAAAGAATGTTTTCAGGTTTTCAGGAGTTTTATAATTTCTTAAAATTGATTATGAATTAGGACAAAGTAGATATAACGATGTCAAATTTCAAATTTATTTGCTGATAATCATAAATAATTTCATAGAATAGGACATCTATTATCTAAAGAGATTATTTTACATTTTCTACTTTTTTTATTATTTATTTATTTATTATTCAAAATGTAAAGAGTTTTTTAATAAATGGGAAGAATTGCAATTCCTCATCCCAGACTGATGTCATCATCAAACTTATATTCACCATCAGTCTATTTATAGGCTTTGCGTATTTAGAGATAATAGATTCCTCAAAGTTAGATTTTTACATCACTTACAAGAGATACTATAATTAATCATTACTGTGAATAATCAATTGCAGTTTTAGATTGTTTGAGTAAGAAAAAGAAAAGAGCTAGAAAGAAGTAAATTAGAAGAAAGGGCAATAAAATTATCAATGCCAGAAATAGATGAGCTATCATATTAATATTACATATATAAATATTTAAATGGGTTAATGTAAATGTGCTACATAATGTTGTTAAAAGGATGAATTAACCTCATAAAAAATATCTACTAGATCTATTTAAGTTTCCATCAAACATCACAAATTATAGAAGGATTAGACTTCTGATAAAATTGATGCCCTTATTTAAGATGACTTAGACTCATCCATTATGAAAAATTCAATGAATAGCAAAGTCTCCATTCAAGAAATTTCAAAAAATTTAGTTTCAACCCAATAACCAATACCCTAATAAGTTATTGATACTATTTAAACTAATGAACGTAAATTACTTCCAGTATTATTCTTATTTAATTAGATTATGTTAATGCCAAATGGAACCAAATATGAAGGATAATGGCTCAATGGTATGAGAGATGGCTATGGAAAGTAGATATGGCCAGATGGATCAATTTATGAAGGTTAATGGAAACAAGATAAATCAAATGGATAAGTAAGTCAAATTTAATATGAAGGGAAAATTGATTCATGCTGATGGAGATATCTATGATGGAGAATGGGTTGATGATGCAGCTTGTGGTAAAGGAACTTATGTACATTTTAATGGAGCCAGATATGAAGGTGAATGGCTTAACGATAATTAACATGGATATGGTATTGAAGTATGGCCTGATGGAGCAAAGTATGAAGGTCAGTATTAATATGGTAAAAAGAATGGAAAAGGATAATTAACCTTTGTTGATTGTGCTTGTTATGAAGGTAAATTTAATTAGAAATAAATTAGGTAATTTCATTGACAATGAAATTTCTGGTTTTGGTGTTTATAAATGGACAGATGGAAGGGAATATATTGGTTATTGGTTAGATAACAAAATGCATGGAGAAGGCACTCTAAAATGGCCAGATGGAAAATGTTACAAAGGAGTATCTTAATTAATTATTTAAGAATTATTAATAAGATAAAAAATAAGGTAGAGGTGTATTCTATTTTGGTGATGGTAGAAAATATGCAGGTACTTGGATTAATGGTAAATAATGTGGTATTGGATTATATTATCAGAATCAAAGTTAATATAAAATAGGTGTATGGCATAATGGATAAAGAACTAAATGGCTTAAAGATGAAGAAGTAGAAAGTCATAAAGATCAAATTGCTCAGCTCTTATAATTATGATTTATATAACTTCATTTAATATTTTTATTATAATATAACAGTCATGTAAAAGCAATTTCAATCCTCTGTTACTTCTTTAGGATAAATAGCATAATAATAAGAAATATAGAATCCAATGGTTGAATCAAAAATGACATCTACTATATTCAATGTGCCTAGAATTCTTGATAATTATAATGAATTCAATTCTCATAACATTCCAAAAGTATAAGTTAATTTAATTAGATCAATTGTTTCTATCATCAAGGTTATACTTATTCAAACTTTTGTTAACTTGAAGGATGTTGTTTTCCATTATGTCCTGAATGTATTCCTTAACATGCAGATGAGCATTATGAATAGAAATCTTAACCTAAATTAGACAGTCTAGAAAATGTTTTAAATAAAGCATAAATAACAGTTCATGGGGAATGTAACATTTATTAATATTTTCAAGGCAATAATTTAGCATCTTACTATTAAAAAATTTCTAATTCTGTATTAATGGCTGAACAAATGAATATTTAATGCATTAAATATTTAAATGAGAAAAAAGATAGGATTATTAAGATTATTGATTAATATTTCAATTCATTACTCATTGAAGTTTAAGGAAAACACTAGAAAAATATTGAAAATTATAAACGAGATGCTCAATTTTTCTAATAGGTAATTAGAGATAGATGGAAATCACATTTTGAATTATTAGAAAGTTTCAAAAATTAGGATTGTATGAAACCACTAATAAGATTTTTGAAATCTAAAACTCTATAAGAAAACGAATAATATTTTATATAAGCATAAGAATTTACAGAACGTTATGCTCATTATTAAACTAAAGTTAGCTTTGATTCTGAAAAATCGTATATATATATCTCTATTTTAGTGCTTAATTAGGTGGATTTATATCAGATTTTCTTAAAGTGATTAATTATGATCTACCAGAATATGTAAATATACATAAATTAGCACCTCCAGAGATAACTAATTAGAAATCTAATGTTGGATCAGTAAATAATAGTAAAGCATCAATAAGATAGTCAGAACAAAAAATTACTTAAAGCTAAATAAAAAGTGGACGAGAAATTTCATAATAAGTATAATTCATGAATTAATCATCGAATCCCAATAATTATATGTAATAAAGTTAACAATAATATGGATCATAGAGATAAATGAGAAATAATTATGGGGAATAACCAAGTTTGGGTAATTTAGGATCAAGAAAATATTGATATATATATAAATATATCTATATATAAATATAGTATGAATTAAATAAATCAATATTTAATAGTGTCTGTTAAGGACAACTTAAAAGTATTTGATGAATATGGTTTTGTTTTTAATCTCTCCCATATATTTTAATTAATTGGCTTATTGAATTAAACTTATAATGATGTATTTTTAGAATGGATATTTTGTTTTGTCTTTTTTTCTAATTCTTGATATTTTGATTTCCATATAGAGATTTCTTATTCTAAATTCTTATTCTATTATTTTAATTATGAATGACTTAAGTGTAATTAATTATATGCAGCCAATAATAACTCAATTTATATCATCTCTTTTGATTTTGAAATATTGATGTTTGAAGATTCTTTCAATTACTTAGATAATTTCTCAATCACTATTTATTTATTAATCTTTTGGTTCTGTTAATTTTATAATTTCAAATGAATGAGCTAAAATTTACAATCCTATAATCTTGATCTTGGAGTAGACATTTAATCACTAATCAATTCAGAATTGAAGAATGTCTTATCTCTAATTATAGGTATCTAGAACTTTTTATCGCTTTTTGATGTTAAAGGAGGTTTAGCTTAAATTCTTGAGCCTATCTGTGTTTCCAATTGTATTGAATCATTCAATTTAGGTTTTACACTACTTTTTAAGCTATGTGTAAAACTGAAAGATAGATCACTAATATTCTAATCAATTGGCTCTGTTTTATATTGCTTGCTAATACTTTAAGGAAGAAATTCCTTAATTTCACTATCAGTAATCATTATAAATATAATTATATTCAGATTAATTCAATTTATAGTTTTTATTATAATATAATATTAGGGTTTAATATGATCTCCTACTAAATTATACAATTTTAAAGGATATTATTATCTTATCATATCATAAATGTGAATATGATTATAAGTTTTCTTATCTGTACAAAATATATAATTTAATTCATATTATAAGATAGTATTTAGAAATTATATATTAAAAATGAAAATTGATTCTTTTCTTAAGCATCTATGTCCATATTATTAATTCATTAATCATAAAATATTATTTTTATGTAGCTAAAATCTTAGTATTTGAAAAACATTCGTTTGGTATTCAATTTTTTATTATATTCCTCTATAAATGAATTGGAATATCTTTTAGGTAAAAATAATATACTTTAAATTTCAGTTGCAATACTTATTTAAACACTTAATCAATATGAAAGTATTATTTATGAATTATTGATTTTCTTTAATATTAAACATTTATGTTAGAATATTGTTTAATTTTATTGTAATGTTAATAATATAGATAATTTTTATATCTTCAACTATGTAGCATTGACATTTATAGGTATTTTAATAAATATTATTAAAAACTAACATTTGAATGAAATGAATTAATAATTTATATAAATGTGATTTTAGTATAACAATTATAAAGTAATAAGCAATTTTATAATTAATTATGTAATATCAATAATATATTAAAAACTTAATCATTAAAAATAAATAAATGGATGATATACATTTGATTTTATATATTTTTAGACTACTTTGGATATTTTTTAAATATATAGAACCATATTTAAGTAAATCCATATTAATATAATTATTGTACTAAAAATAGACATGTACACAAATAAACAAATCAATTGTTGATTTATTTAATAGATATCATTGGCGAAGAACTCTCTTGTTTAGAAAATGAAGTGCTTGGATACTTTCAGGAGTGAATATCTCGCCATTCTATTCTCGAATAACAATCTCTTTATAAGACATTAATTCAATCTCTTCAACTTCTTTAGGGTCTTAGATAAAGTTAATTATCTATCCATCATAAAATGTATAAAATATTTATCCCCAGATCTTATTTTTCTTACTTTCAAAATAAAAAGAATTGAGATATGTCAATTCTAAGTCTAATCCTGTTTCTTATATTAATTTTCTTTTAGCACATTAACGATAATCCTCAGATTCTAGAACAATTCCAGTAAAACAAGTGCTAAGTGTCCCAGGTTAATATTATTTTTATTAAGAACGCTTATGACAAAAGATTCTGAATGTCTACTTCTCTATGACGAATAAAAAAGTTGCTTGATGAATTACTTTAGATAATAGCTTATAATCAATACAAATCAAGTCTTAATAATAATTATTACTTTTTATTACCTATAACATGATTATTGATGTCGACAACTTTGGCTTTTAATAATTCAGATTCATTTTAATTATCCTTCATAATTAATTACAATTCAAAATATAAAAATAATTTTTGATTTCCAAATCATTTTGTAACAGATTCTTATGATGTATTTATAATCATTGATCTATATAATATTTTAATTACTTATATCAAAACATATATTCTTCTTAAATATATTCTTTTTTTATTCAAAAAAAAAATTAACTCTTTAATAGTATATATGTCTAAAATATCTATTATAGATATATTTATTAATTATTATATATAAATCTCAAATTAATATCAAATTCTTAATCAAATGTCTTATTATTTTTCATAGTTAAATTATATATGAATTGATAAATATAATAAAATCTAAGATGATCAATTCTCTATATAGAATATATAGATATTCAAGTTAAACATTAAAGCTCTATAATCCAATTAAAAAAAAAAAAACAAGATATTCTAAACTTTAATATTTACTTATTTTTGGTTATAAAGCTTCAAATGAATTGCCATCTTTAGTATATATTTTTTGAATATTCGCTTCTAGATATTGGTCAAAGATATTTAAATTTACTATGAACTATCTATTGTATATATATAGTGAAATGTATAATTAAGAGGAATTAAAATAAAATCATGAGTTTCTTTTGATTGCATCAAAATACTCATACTGATTTATTATTTTTTCTCCTTCTTTAATTTAAACATATAATCTAGAGTCATTCTTGATTTATCTATAACTAGCCCTTTTTGACTCTGACTATTCATCAAAATTAATTTCTTTTTTCTTATGACAATGTAGTATTGTTTTAGCAGTCGCATAGTTAATATTAAGGTCTTTTGCTATCTGAAACTCTTAGAAAATCTTACTTTCTTAATTTTACATTTTTATTTCAGTACAGTTTGAATCAACTAAGTTTTCTTCTCTTTTGATATATGACAATAAACTCGTTTTACTTTCATATCAAGCTCCTACTCACATACTTTCATAGATCTTGTCTTTACACCTATAACTTTATCATGACTATTCATTAGATTTATATTTTATTAAAATGAAATAGGAATGTCATGAGATTTAAATTATTTATAGAATCTATGGACTAAATGAATAATAAAATTTGAATTTTATACTCTAAAAATTATATTAATGTTAATAAATACAGACTTAATTGTTATTAGATATATAAATTTGATAAGAATTTATTTATTATCGGTTGCTGATATTGCTGGAAATTGAAGTTAATTCACTTAAATATATGGACAAATTTTTGTAATTTCTAAAATCAATTTAGGATCAATGTTTATAATTTTGAATCATATATTTTTTAAGTAAATACATCATTATTATATTTGTCTATGATTTAGTTTATAATTATTTTAAAGAATTTAGAAATTTATTAAAATATTTTGATAAAAATATTAATATGATTTTTTATCAAATAATTCATAACTTATATTATGATAGTAAATCATTTATCAAAAATTCATATGATTTTTATATATAGGTTATTAATATTATAATTATTAATTTAATATTGAACAAATATTAAAAAATAAAAGTAAACAATATTTATAAAGTACTAAATTATAAAAATAACAATTCATTGTCTACTGCTACACATACTAAGATACATTTTTAGTATCTTATCTAAATCTTAAGATTAATGTGATTCTTTTTTGAATCTACTTATACTTTATTGAGTTTATCCTTTAATAACTCTATCTGTTTTTAAATTTAATCTATTTTCTTCTTCAAAAGTATGTTATTAATCTTCAATTGTAAAAGATGGCATGGATTTAAACTAATCTAATAGTTTGACAGTTCCATTTTCATCAAAATTTTTTGATTTTGAACAATATTTACTCAATTAAATCTTTTTAGGTTGAGGACTTTTTATTTAAGTAATTTTAGTATTAGAATTCTTGATTAAATTAGTTAAACTAGCTTAATTTCGTTTATGCATATTAGTGGCATCTCTTAAAGGACTAGTTTAATCATAAATAATCTTCTTTTTTATATCATCAAATATATTATTAGATTGTTTTTTTGAATCTACTCTTGTTTTTGATATATTAGGAGATTTGATACTCAATGATGAAGAATTATTCAAATTATTCCCATTAGTTTAATTTAATCTACCAATAGGTTATTATTTGTGACTTATCAAAGGGGATTGATATTTTTATATTGAATTTTAATCAACTGAAAAACTTGACCTTGGAGATAAAGATATCTTAAGTTCTATTATAATTATTATATAACATTATTACATCCTTATTAAGGATAGCATCTCTAAACAAATGGAGATTAATAAATATCTTTAAAGGATAATCTCTATGATGGATCTTTTTATAAGATGTTCTTAATAAGTTCTTAGGCATCTGAATTTATAGAACTAGAATAACGTATTAAACCACTCTTTATATTAGCAGCTATTTCTTTATATTCTTTTCCTTTAAATGGAGCATATCCATGTAATAATTCATATAGTAATACTCCAACTGACCATATATCAATTTTATAATCATAAGGTAAATCAGAGACAATTTCTGGTGCCATATACTCATAGGTTCCACAAAATGTCTTTCTTTTAAGATGAATATTCTCTGCACACCATCCAAAATCACATAATTTAATATCATTATTACTATCCAACAATAAATTTTCAGGCTAAATATATTTATATTATTGATTACTTTTATATCTCTATGGAATACATTTAATTCATGCAAATATTGTAAAGCTTTGCAAGTTTGTATAAAATACTTACAGGCTTCTTTTTCATCTAATCTCTTCTTCCTTTGCACATAATTATATAAGTTTCCATTTTCAGCATACTCTAATACCATATATACGTTTCCATGTTCAATGAAACTATCATATAAATTTATTATATTTGGATGATGACACTTTAAATGTACTTTTATTTCTCTTTCCACTCCTTCCTACTCATATGGAGTTTAGATATTGCTTTGTTAAATTGATTTTATTGCATAAAGTGCTGATGATTTAACATGTTACACCAAATTAACAGTTCCAAAAGATCCAGTTCCTAAACTAGTCTTACCATTAGATCTTTGTTTAAGTTCAAATTGAGCCATTGAAGTAAACAGTCCTTTATTATAGCATTCTATTTTTCTTTACATGATTGTTCGATTAACTGACAAATTTTTATAAATATAATCAATAAAATTTATATTCAATTTACTTAAAATAATCATCTATTTTCATTCTCACTCTAAAAATACTCCTTTAAAATTTAATAAATTAATAACACTAAACTATTAAATCTTTAAAATTTTAATTACTAGCCTATGTATCTTATATGACATCATATAATAATTATTAATAATTAATTCAAAACAAATTTATACAATGACCAAATAAAACTTTATTTTAAGTATAGGTTTTCAATTCATACTTCTCAAAAGTAAGTATATTTTAGAATATTTATGTAAAATACTTTTAATTAATATTAAAATTGTAAATGGATATATTTTATGATAATATTAGATATTATGATTATATGATATACATAATTTAGAAATTAATTATGTTAACTAAATTAAAAAGAAACTGAATTTATATTAATCATTTTATCATTAAATCATTCTTAAAACAAATGGGAATTAAAAAAGAAGTTATATTTATATTAAAATATATTTTAAAGATCATTTTTTAGATTAATAATAATACAGTTTTTACAATAGTAAATGTCAATCATATGTATCAAAAATATAATATAATCCATGAAAATAATTAATATAAAATAAAATTTAATAAATAGTATTATAAACTATAAAATTTATAAAAACGATTTCTGATCTAATCATTTAAATTAAATTAATTATATTTCAATATTAATGTATAATGATTTACGATTTTTAATTTTATTACATCATATAAAAAGTGCGTCAGATAGTATAAATAATGATATCACAATAAAAAATCAAGATAGTTTATCGATAATTGTAACAATGAAAATCATTTTATTAGTTCTAGTGATTTAAGTATTCAGCCAAAGTTGTTTAAGTTCAACAGGATCTTAAGTTGATTGGTGGTTGATATTTAAATTGCCTGCTGATTCTACCATACCATATAGTGGATTTGAATATTATTATTGTGATTCACAAAATGATTGTTCTGTCATGAACCTAATGGGTGATGATTTAAGAGACCGTACATCACCATTATAAAGAACTGTGGGTTAAATCTCCTTTATATCAAGTACAACTATGAATGTAGTATGGAATGATTAACCATATGGAAAATCAACTATTTCTGACAGAGCTCATTCCAAAGGCATATTATCTGCATCTTCTAATGGATAAGGATTTATAATTAATCATTCAACACCATAATTTCCTGTATTTGATGAAACTTAAAGGTAAAATTTAATAGTATAAATTTAGTAATATAATATCTGGAATGCCAAGTAGTGCTAGTGTAAATGGCTAACATTATTTTTGTGTGACTATGCCAACCTCATAAATTAATGTTGTAGCATAATAATATATTATTGCTTAAACATTAACTCAAAAGGCTAATGAAATTAGTACATTTGAATCAACCTATCCTAATATTTTTGCTTTAAGAAATAATTCAAGGAAGATACCAGCTTAAAGTGGAACTACTTAAGTTAAGAGTAAGAATGGATTGAATATCCATGTTATTTCAAAGAACTAAAATTTAGTGGATGACTTTTATGCTACCATAGTGGCACCACATTTAAAGATTGGTTTGGTTATGGAAACATGGGGAAATGGAACAGGAGGATTATAGGAACCTTCTTGCTCATAAACTTATCAAACTTATAGCAATATTTATAGAAATCATAATGTAGAATTATAATACTATTTATAGGGTTATAAATTTAAATATACAAAAGATCATTCTAAATTTGGAATTTCGGTATAAAGTATAATGCCATATGTTTGTATGTCAGATTTAAATAGAATGACAACTTAAAATAAAAGAGGAGGAACTACTTTTTGTTTTTTACATTCTAAGATTTGGAATGTAATAAATAAGGCATTTATTGAAAGATAAACATGCTGAAAGTTTAATTAAATTGTATTTAGTTTATTTAAACTAATATAAATATCAATAAGAATTATAATTGATTACAAAATAATAAATATTATTATGGCAAAAAAAAGTAATGATGTAGATGTTGAAGCATTGAAAAAGAAAGTATTACCCATAATTAGAATTGCTGTTCTTGGACCTAAAGGTGTAGGTAAAACAGCTATTGTCAATTAATTTGTCAATAATTCATTTGAACCATAATATGAAGAAACAGATGATGATATACGTCGTTATAAAAAGGTTCATGATTTAAATTGTAGTCCAACTGATCCCTAATATGTTGTATTCATTATTGAGGATATGTAATTGCAAATTTACACAACTTTAGATTCCCAACAAATCATCCTGATTTAGTTAGAGAAAGTGATTTCCTTAAGACAAATATTTATTTTGGAACACTAGAAAATAGGTAATAAAGATTCAAAGAAGAATAAAAGAACATCTTAGACTTTGATAAATAGATCTATGGTTATATATTTGTCTTTGATGGAAATTAAAACGATTCATATAAAGGTTTAGAAGAACCTATAAAATATATATCAGAATATTGTGAAAAGTAAAGATCATTCAGTATGTTAACAACTAAGAAAGTTGTTGTAGCTAATAAAAGTGATTTAATTGAAGCTTAAAATTAAGATAAAGTATTTTCAAAGTGGAAATCTCTTGAGAAATTTAATATTCCTACAAGATTTGTTGTATCTGCCAAAACTGGAAATAATGTTAATGCAGTATTTGAAGAAATTGGCAAACAGATATTATAAGATTAGAAATTAGATATGATTGACAAAGCTTGGCTTACAGAAATGGATAGTTTAATTAATGGAATAGAGTAATATCGAAAAAAAAACAAAAACTCTAATCAAGATGATAATAACAAAAAAAAAGGTGGAAATAAAGGATTCTTAGGTTGTGGAGAAAAAAGAAAGTAATTTGTTGCTGATGATGTAATTTAATATAATAATTAATTAGGAAGACGAAGATGAAGATGAAGAGGATGAAGAATTTAAAAATTTATAATAATATCCTGGAATGATGGAAGATAATAAAGAGGGTTGTAATATCTTTTGATTTATATATAAAAATATAACTGAATATATTATTTTAAATATTGAATATACTGGTATTTAATTATGTAATGAACAAAAGAATAGCCTATAAATTTATATTTTTATTATTTTATTTATTCTACATTCTGCATATTATAATATTAATTTCTGTTGAAAATATATATATTATATATTATTGTAATTGTAATTAAATCATGTCATCAATTTTACAGATTTGGATCATCTCATTCTTAATTCACATTATTATGAATCAATAATTATTGAATTCAGAATGGCAATATCATTCATCAGAATTAGTAGATAATACATTTCCATCCACTGGTTGGAATGCAATACCTCCTATTTATACATGTAATTCAGTAGTGCCTTCTTTTTAATAATTCTATGATTTTACTGGATAAACTTGGTAAAGAAATTTTGATTTAACATAAGAAAGAGGATATATGTAAGTAAGAATAATTTTTGATTTATATATATTTTAATATAATCAAGCAAAAATTATAGATTTACCTTTTCTATTTAAATTTGATGGAAATATTATATCTCATGATGATGATTTATTTATGTTGTAACAAAATAAACCAATAAATTTTACATTTTGTAATTCAAGAGTATTCAAAGATTTGAAATTTATGTTAAACTTTTAGATAAACATACCTACAAACACTATTAATTTTAATCATTAATTTCAAATACGACCATTAGATGTTACAACACAATTTTCAATTAAAAACTTTTTTATTTTCATAAATAAATGTTCAAAAAATTGTTATGAATGTTAAATGAAATAGTTTTGTGATGTATGTAAACCTAATTTTTAATTACTTTAAAAATCTTGTCGTTGTTCATATCCTAAACCATTTATGGTAAATGATGATTGTTTGGATTCATGTCCTTTAGGTTATTTTGATTTTTATGAAGATATTTGCAAACCTTATACAAGCAAATCTTTATTATTTAGAGATGATGTTAATCAGAATTAAATTAAATATCAATATATAAAGGATACTTTATCTAATATCTTTTATAAATCATCAACTTTTGAATAAGGTTAAAATGTTTAAGGACCTTTTAGATTTAATGATAAAATACAATATTCATTTAGAAAGTCATCAATCAATAATATTTTAGAGTTTGAAATAACAATTTATTTTTATGGATAAATAGCTGTAATTTAATTTTTATAATATAGGATGTGACTGGAGTGATATTTGAAATTAATAATTATAGAATTGGAGCAATAACTTCTGAACTATCAGAAATATCAGCTAAAGGTGGTTTGATTAAATAGATTTTGGGATGTTCTTATAATGGATTTTAGAGTTGCAAGAAAATATAGTATTATACAACTGTATAAAGTTTTAATGAATATGATATTGTCTTAGGAATAAGATCTTTTTTTAAGTATATATATATTAGATTGTTTTTTATAGCATATCAGATCCATTGTAAGCTTGGGGAATAGATTAGGTTATAGTGAATGAGATTGAACCAGGAATATCATTACCTTAAGTTTGTTCTCTTTGGTATGAAGGTAAGTGTACAAATTAATGTCCTACATATTCTACTTTAAATGGAATTATATGTGAAGATTATGGCAGTATATATAAGAATCCACTATATTTTTTTAAAGAATTTTATCCTAATCACATTATTAATGATTATTCAAGAGCATAAATAGATCTAAAAAATATAGAATTTTATCAATTTGAGAATAGATTTCTTTATATGTATAATACTAATTATTAAGGTGGTATATTAAGGCATAAATTTTAAATAGTAACACCTCATCGTAAATTGAGATTAATGATTTCAATTTTATTGATTGATTGGTAAAATAACTCATAAGATTATTTTCTTGAATTAGCAATTGGATCTAGTCTTAATTAATAAAAATATAAATTTTATGCTGATTTATCAAATTAATTTATAGATTATCAATTAAATTAAGAATTTCCAGATTATATTTATAGAAATTACACTTTAGATTTTATACATAATTAGAAATCATTTAATTTAGAAATGAGATGTTTTTCTCCATTTGATGGATACTGTTCATTTTTTGATTACTTTATAATTATTGAAAAGGTTATTATGATGTTTAATTTTAGTGTGATCATGGATGTTCCAAATGTGATATAAATGGAGTCTGTTAATAATATCATTTTCAGGATTTAGATTAAATTAGTTACTAATTTCAAAATTATTAATGTTTAGATGGTTATTGGTATGATAACGAAGAATGTATATTATGTTCATTTGGTTGTGGTAAATGCAATCGACATATCTGTTTATAATGTGAAGATAATTTTGAATTGAAGGAAGGTAAATGCTTTTGTTAGTTTTAATAATCTAATGGGATATGTAAGAAAATATGGCATTGTCCTTAATATTGTTAAACTTGTTCAAAACATTTTCAATCATGTGATTCATGTGATCTCAGTTAATTGAAAGTGTTAAATATGAATACATGTATATGTATAAATGGCTATTATATGAATCCAAATTTTGAATGTATTAAATGTAATACGAAATGTATCACTTGTAATGGATATGAATCATGTACAAGTTGTGATAGTCAATCTAATAGATTATTATTTTAAAATATGTGTGTATGTAAATAAGGATATTTTGACAATATGAACGATATTAATTGTCAATAATGTCATTATTTATGTAAAGAATGCTATTTTGAATATGATCGTTGTACTGAATGTGATACTTAAATATTTAGATAATTATCAAAAGGTAAATGTGTATGTTAAGTTGGTTATTATGAAGATAATTAATAAATATGTTAGAAGTGTAATTCAAATTGTTATACTTGTGAATAAGAAAATATCTGTTTAAGTTGTGATATTTAATAAAACAGAATATTAAACACACAATAAATTTGCATATGTAATTTAGGATATTTTGAAAATTAAGTAAATTAATGTTAAACATGTCATTATTCATGTATATATTGTAATCAATCTGATGAATTCAATTAATGTACTTCATGTCCATCTTCTCGAATAAAATCATCTGATAAAATGAATGTATTTGAATGCAAATGTAGAAAAGGATATTTCGATATTGGAATCTTAGAATGTATCAGTTGTAAACCTTATAAAAATGTAATTGCTTCACATCCTTGCTATTCATAATGTGGAGATTAAATATTATAATGGAATGAAGAATGCGATGATGGAAACAATGATTCAAGAGATGGTTGTGTTGATTGTTATTACTCTACTGATAGATGTAGTCCTAATATTTGTAAAAAGTGTTATTAAGGTTATTGTATAATATGTAATGATGGTTATTACTTAAACAAAAATAATGAATGTGAAAGATGTTCTTAAAGTTGTATTACTTGTATTAATTCTTCAAAAAATTGTCTATAATGTAGATTCCTATAAGCAGATCAAACTTGTAAGATTTGTGATTAAGAATATGGATTTTAAATAAAGGATAATAAATGTTAAGCTGTCTGTGGAGATAATATGATAGTTGATATTGAATAATGTGATGATGGTAATATAATTGATGGAGATGGATGTAATTCATAATGTATGATAGAACAAGGATTTATATGTAATCCTAATTGTTAAATTATAAATCCAATAATTATTATATTGAAATCTGATCCAAAAGATAAGTATTTCAATAGTAAGAGATACTGTTATTTAGATTTTAATTAAGATGTAATCATTGATGGAACTTTGTCTTAAATGATTAATATGTAAATCACTAATTCATCTATTTAATTCAATACTAATATATCACATTTAAATACTCAATCTCTTTTAATAGAAATAGAATTTTTAAATAATGTATAAAATCCAATTATTTAAATTGAAATAAGTACTCCTTCTAAAATTAAAAATAATTAAGGAGCAAATTTAGAAAATAACATTTAAACAATATAACTATTATCTTATACTCAACAAAGTGAAGGTACTAAAACAGCTACAAATAGTTCATCAAATTTTGCTTATTTTATTATGATATTTCTATTGAGTTTAGCTGGTTTTTCTTTTATTACTGGTGGATTAAGTATATTTTTTAACTTGTTGGATTCTATTTAAATGTTAGCTTATTTAAAATACTTAAATATTATTTTCCCATATAATTTATAAATGTATTTTGAAACCTTTGGATTTGCTGAATTTAATTTCTTAAAAGAATATATATCAATTCAAATAACTATTCTCGATTTTGATTTTAAAATATCTGAGAATCAACCAGATCAAAAATTTGCAGAAGAAGGATACTCATCTTTATTTATTATAAATATACTCAGTGTTTTAAGTGTATTTATTATTACTTACTTTACTTTCATGTTATCATAATTACTACATAAAATATGTAATTTCTATATCAATTATTTACATTATAATATCAAGAATGATAATTATTTCATTTTAAGTATTTTTTAATACTATCTATACATTGTAGCAAAGCATCTACAATCCTTATCTATTATTTATAATACTCAATTTCACAATAATATAATACGAACTATCATGACAGTTGCAATGGATTTTAATATGGCAATATTTTTACAATTGAAAATGTATCAATATGATATGAGATTTAGTTATTATTTGAGTTTAATTTCATTAATTGCTCATCTATTATTCATTTATTATGGTTTAATTGCAATATCTAAAAAATAATATGAATTTGTTACTCTTATATATAAATAGAAACATGAATCATTTTTAGAAGGTAATCCAGAATATCATTAAAATTAATTCGTTAAATATTATAATATCATAATACTAATTAAAAAGATGATGTTCATGTTTGCATTAATATTTTTATACCATTGTCCATATTTTTAAATTTTGATATCTTCAATTTAAAATATTATCTTTATTGGATATATTTTATTGATCAAACCTTTAAAAGATATTAATGAATTCTATAAAGTTATTTTGACAGAATGTATTTTATGGTTGGAATAATTATTAATACTCTTAATATATTATATTCAATCAGGAACCAATTAATTAGATTAATCTTAAATTTCCAATATGTAAATTTTGGGTTGGATTATTATAGGATTATCAGTAGTTATGCTATTAATATAATTTTTGATTGATATTAAATAACATGCTTATTTTCTATATCAATAATATGCATTCATTCAGAAGATGTTTGAATATGTAACTAGGGTTTTTAATAAAAAAGACTAATAAATTGATTAAATTGCAGAAGAACTTATCAAAGAAGAAAAAAATGGAAAGCTAAAAAGTAAAATAATTGCTTATCAATTTACATAAGATAGAAAAATGTATTGATATTAAATAGTTTAAGTATATATTTATATTCCATACTAAAGTTAATTTTATCATTATTTAATTAAAAATCTTAAATAATATAATAACTATACTGCTTTAAGTTTTATAAACTATTTAATTATGTATCTATTTTCTTCTAAAAATTCTTGAAAAATAGATTCTTCTATATTAATATAAAAAGAGTTTGTTTCTATTTTATAATTATGTTTATATTATTTTGACAAAAATTAAAATGCGAAATAGAAAGGGAAAAAAAAATCAATAATTTTACTTATTCTTATGAGATAAAAGGATAGATAAAAGAGTAAAGGAAAATATTTAAGCATATCAAAAGAACTAGTTTAAATAGTGGATGTACATGGTGGACCAAATTGTAAAAATTGGGGATAAGTTGCCAGACATTTAGAAGCTCAGGTTGGAATAAAGATTGAAAAGGCATATAGATTGAAAAGAGCGTATAATTAATAATATATATATATATATAGATGGGAATCTTTTGTTGATTACAATGAAAACATGTCTAAAGAACAATTAGCTATATTATTTGAAACAGCTATAAAGACAAGAGGGAATATGGAATATGCAAAACATGAATTTAAGAGATTGACAGGAATCTAATTATATTCGACTCGTTATGCTGATTATGTAAAAACATGGTTGAAACCAGGATTATTAGGATTTAAAGATTGTTATATATTTTCAGTTGTAAAATCTTTGAGAAGATCTGATTTCTATTAAAAACATACTATGGTATAACCAATAACAGTATTATCAATGTTAAGAATATTGGATCATGATATAGAAGAATATAAGGATGACTTTTTTGTTATGGATTTTAGAGAAAGTGCAGAGAAGTTGCAAGAATTATTAAAATGTTATGCTAGTTGTTTTTAGGAATCAAGAGAAGAGAGATATAGTAAGTTCTCAAGAATAACTACAAGACATTAATTTAAAAAGATATATTTTTATTTATAATTGATGGAAGAATTTAGAAGAATTAATAGATTTTTTACTAATCATGTGAATCAATTAACATTTCATCCTATGTTATATAAAAGTATTGAATAAAATAAGTAATGTCCAATTTATAAATTGACACTATTAGAAAATGATTATTCTAAAAAGCTACAATTATTTAATGAATCAAATAATAATGCAAATGAATAATTCTCAGTTCTTTTGAAACCAAAGAAAAAAAGAACTTCTTAGAAATCAGGAAATGATGAAGAAAAGAATTAATAGAAGGAATAATAGAATCCTTATGTTTATCAATTAGAAGAAGAAGATTTGGTTAAATAAATCAAAGTACCTAAAAAAATGAGTGAAACTAAAAAGAAATATAAAGATTATCGATATTTTAGAGGACATTTTATAAGAGAAGGATAATATTAATGTAAAGGATTAACAACCAAAGATTTTGAATATGATGTTCCACTTGAATAATGAAGTGTAAAATTATAGAAAATAAAATTAATTTTTATTAATGCAATAATCTTAATCATTTATAAAAACCGATAAAAAGTGTGATAGACAACACGATGAGGGATCAGACAGATTAATAGCTATTTGTTTAAATCCTCATTGTGATAAAAGGTTAATGTGTTGCTTCTGTTATCACGATTATCATTGTGAGCATGTAAAGGATGTTAAGACAATTGCACAAGTTTAATAATTATGTAAAGATTCAATTATTAAATTTGACAAATTGCAACTTACTATTACCTTATAATAGAAAGCTGATTAGTTTAAGTCAGTTGTTTAGAATATCAATGAATAATTGGAGAAATTACTATAATTTTATATTCATGATATACAATAATTGTATTAGATGTTAGAGGATTTAGCAGATAGTTTTGTAATTTTACAATAAGGAAATATCAATCAATTTACAAATGAATAATGTGAATTATTGACAACATTTCATGATGAAAGAATTCTAGATAATATTGAAGATATTTCTAATTTTATTGGATAGAAAATGGGAATATAAGATTTACTTAAAATTAGTAATGATTTACATGAAAAATTAATGATGCTTGATATTAATGAAATATTTGAAAAAAATATATATAATGAACAATTGAAAAAGTTTGTTCAATCTCATGAAATTAAATATGATTGGATTTAACCTGAATTTTTATTAACTAGAAGTCCTGAGGTTGCTAAAATAGTATATCCAAATGAAGATTTCTATATTGGAGAAGTAAAAGGAGATAAGAAGTTTGGTAGAGGTAAAAATATATATGATAATGATAGGATTATTATTTAATAAAATACCTTAGACATATTAATATGGTGTATTTAGAGAGGATAATTTTGTTTGGGGTCAACAATTAATGGTAGATTAGAAAAAACGTTACTGGATTAAATAAGGAAAATGGGTCAATGGAAAAATAGAAGGTAAAGGGATTCATGCCTTGTTTAAAGGAGAGTATTATTAAGGAGATTTAAGGAGTGATATAAGAGAAGGGTTTGGAATAATGAGATATACTACAGGAGATGAATATTAAGGATAATGGAAAATGGGATAATTTAATGGTAAAGGATTGTATAAATATGCAAATGGAGATGAATATGAAGGAGATTATGTGTAAGATAGAAAAGAAGGTATAGGATCATATCAATATCAAAATGGAGAATTATATGTTGGTTAATTTAAAGCTGGTTTGAGACATGGTAGTGCTATAGTCAAATTTCCAAATGGAGATATGTAAATAAATATAGTTTATTTAGATATACAGGAGAATATGTGAATGATAAGAAGGAAGGACCTGGAGTATACAAATATATTAATGATAATATTTTTGAAGGGACTTACAAAGATGGACAAAGACATGGATAAGGGATCTTCACAGATGTTGTAAATGGGATAAGAGAGATTGGTGAGTTTGTTTAAGGTAAGTAACATGGAGAACATATGATTTTTAAGTTGTTGAAGGATAAACCATATTGTATAAATGTTTACGATAATGGAATTCTAGTTAATACAAAATCATTATGATTTTTAGGTTTCATTTCAATATTAAAACACTATTATTTTTATAATATTCAATCAATAATTTAGGGAATCGTTCTCTTAAAAAGTAGAAGGGATAATAAGATGTTAACAAGTTAGGGTTTTAATATTGTAATTCAAAGTACAATTCATTTTCTGATTTGACATGAGATTTAATATTAATAGGAACACTGTCAATAGTATTTCCATGTTCTTTATCAAAAGAGACTTTCTTCATTTAAATAATTGGTTATTGTCTCAATCTTTCCAAAATGTATCCACTTACTTCTTCTTATGTGTCAATTAAATAGAATTCTCTTGGATCTTCTTCCATATTGGTCTACACTATTTTATCAGCCTTTTGTTTCTTATCCCTTTTTAGCATGATTTTTATTATTTGTCATTTATGAAATAAAACTATAAATATAAATAAAAACATGATTATTTTATTTCAAAATATAAGTGTTTTAACTTTTCCTTTCCTAATTCATATATAAATTTCAAATACTTATAAATCCTTTTATTAGAACAAGGTTTGATATTTCCTCTGCTCTGAAAATGACTTAATTTGTCCTTCATGGCTTATCCTTTTTGTATGGCAATAAACAAAAATGAGTATAAGGAATTTATGTGTTGTCTATGATATATAGAGGTCACTCTCTACAGATACTTCATAACTCTGGAGATGTTATACTCTGGATAATACTCTCTAAACTCACAGATTTTATCGAAGTCTCCTACCGATGGCTAAGTTATGATGGGCTATGGTTGGTAATGAAAGCAATCTTACGAATTCGATTTAATAGTGTTCTTCCTCATACAATTGTTAAATATAATTCTCATAGATTAAGCTTGATCTTCTATTTCTCATTCCAAATAAATTCTAATCAAATGAAACTTTTTATGAAACTCTTCTATAAATTCTTGGACTCTTATCTGAATAGTAAAATTATTATGTAGGTCTTTAAATCTCTTATTATTATAATTAAAGTTCTTCATCTATAATATCAATGATTGGTATTTCTTCATCATTTTCTTATATTGGATTATGCATTTAAGATTCAAATTTGGCTCCAAATCCTGCTGTTTCCTTTTATTGAGATTTTCGATGAATAGACATCTTCTTTAAAATTTCTTATTCAAATCTTCCTATTTCTTCTTGAGATTTAGATGATGGATAATTTTAACTTAATCCAGCAGTCAAAGTTTAAGAAGGCCTATGACTAAACTTACTCAATTGATTACTATATTAACTAATAGATTTTGTTAAACTTTTTGTTTGGACATTCGAAGTACCTATTGGACAATTATATAATACTTTTTATAGTTCTTGTCTAAATGTCTTAAGATTCACCTTCTGATAAATTCTCACTTTCTTCAACATTTTCCAAATCCTTCATTAATTCTTTAGCCAAATCTGAAATTACTGTTTATTATAACATAGCATTAATATATTTAGATTTCCTTTATCTAGATATATGTCTATTTATATTACATATCTTCTCTTTCTTATGAAATTGGATACAATTATTATTTGATGACTCTATCCTTATCTGGTTAATAATGTAAGAATGGACATTAATTCACCAAATGACTAGTAGATTTACAACTATAACATCTCACATCAAGCATAGATAAATCTTGTTAAAATTAAACTTTATCTTTTATCATATAAAATTTCTCTTTATCATCTGGAAATTGTTCAAGTAAATTTACAAAATGTTTACGTTATATTTTGTACAATTAACAAAATCCTTTACTAATTATTGTTGCTGTCCTTCTATTTGCAGTTATAAATCCTAAAAATCCAAAATATTCTCCTTTTTACAAAGTCTTTATATGATTACGAGAATGTTTCTCATTCATATTGTTTGTTTACTCAAATATTATATCTACTTCACCTTTATTTATAAAATAAATTGAACTATCATCTTACTCATCTAATGTTAAGATTCTTTGTTCAGGTATTGTTTTCACTTCCTCCATATAATATACTAATTATTTCCTTAATTTAAATGAGAAATTTGATGATATCATTTTACATTATTCTAATATATTTGCCTATAATTAATGTTTCAATTCACTTCTTAATTAAAGTGATAACTTACCCATTATCTAAGTAATATCTTCATCATTCATTTACTATTCTTACTAATTAATTATTATTTTCAATTACTTTATAAATGTATTACAAATAACTTCGGATTCTATGTTGTAAATTCAAATTTATGCTATTTAAATTCATATAATTAGTCATCATATTAATGTATTAATTATGCTTAATTCTTTAAGAATGATTATACAAAAAGAATCCAATCTTTATAGTAACAAATCCATTTATCAATATTGAAATTATTGATATTAATGATGAAAATATCAATTATTCATTATTACTTGACTCTAAATTAGAAAGTCCTGAACTTGTCAAATAAACTGATGCCCAATGAAAACATTGGATATATTATTAAATTACATTCTCTAATGATTTTAAATTATTTATATCCTTTATTAAAGTATACCATATACATGAAACCAAATGGATTACATAAATTACTGCAATCAAATTAATAACCAATGGAATTAAATTGTTTTGTTAAATATTAAAATATTCCTGAGTATTATTAACAACTTTCAATAATTTAGCTCCTTAAAGTACACCAAATATACATAATAATACTAAATTTAATTCTGCCACTTCTAAAGTTTAGAATAATAAAATAATCAAAGAAATTAAACAGATAAGGTCTTTTATCATGTCTTATTTCAAATAGTTATATATTATATGATAGTGCTAACTAATACAATAAGAATTTATTACTTAATTATTTTCCCCTTAAATATATATGCTTAATTAAAGGAAATGATCATTTCAAATAATAACATCCCTATGAGTAGATATTCAATTATATAGTAATAATCATAATCTAATATTTATAGAATTGAATTGAATTCAAAAGAATATTTAAATGGCAACCATATGAATATTATCAATGTATTTATAATAAATACTATATCTGAACATAGTTTTATATTGCTTTACGGTTATATAATAGGATAATTGTTGAAATAATTGAACATAAATTTATAACAAGTACTATCTATATCATCTATTTATGTATCCTACCCAAATTAAAGATCATCAAGAACTTACTTTTAATAGTTGTTCATTTTGCTAACTGGCTTAGCTTTATCCAGTAATTATTTAATAAATGATTCTTAATACAATCTTTGCAAATGTAATCTAAATTATCTTTATTGTTATTAATCTTCTTGTTGTTCTTATTTATTTCTTCTACTTTATATTGAAACATATCGATTCAAATGACCCCTAAACGAACAACTAATCTCACGTAAGCTACTTGGAGGGGTTAAAATGAGTAAGGGATCTTAGCTCTAATTTTATTTATTAATCGATTTTATTGTAGGTGATCGATTTATCATCTCAAAATTATATATATATTTATTATTTGACATTCTTTTTAATTATACAATTTAATTATCATAATTATTATATAGAGATAATGTAAGGCTAATCTATTAATTATTATACATATATATAATTCAAATAATAGTTATCATTGTTCTCTAAAAAAAATTCAAAAATTAAAAATCAATACAATTTTATAACAAAAAATATTTATTTTAAGTATTTGTAAATTTTAATTAGAATGGATAGCAATACTTTTGCAAATAACCCAATTATTATTGATATGGTATTTGAATATTATAAATTAAAAAGGGTTCAAGTTAAATAAAAGCAGGGTTTGGAGGAGATGATAAACCAAAAGTGATTTTTAATTCATAGTAAAAAAATCGAAAAATAATTAAGTATTGGACGCCCAAAATTAAAAGCATTATCTGCTACAAATAGTCAAGAAATTTATGTAGGAAATTAAATTACAGATAGTATAAGAGGGAATATGAAAATAAAATATCCATATCAGAAAGGTGTAATTAAGGATATTAATGATATGGATTAATTATGGAAATATACTTTCTCAGAATTAAATGGTAATCCTAAAGATGTAAGGTTTAATTGATTAATTAGTATCCAATTTTATTAACTGAACCACCATTTACTAGTTAAATCTAGAAGAAGGAGATTGCAAAATAATTCTTTGAAAATTATAATTGTCCTGCTTTATTCTTTGCAGTTTCTGGAATTGTTAGTTTATTTGCAAGTGGGAAAACGACTGGAGTGATTTTAGATGTTGGTGATACAGTATCATAAAGCATTCCAATTTATGATGGATTTTACATTTAACATAGTGCATAAAGAGTAGATTTAGCAGGACGAGATGTAACTGATAATTTGAATAATTTATTAAGAAGATCAGGATATATATTCACTAAAACTGTATATTTTATATTTCATATTGTTTAGGCAGAATTCGAAATTATCAAGAAAATTAAGGAGAAGCGTTGTTTCTTGAGTCCAACAATGATTGCAGAAGAGAAGTACTAAGAAGAGAGAAAGATAAAAGATCAATTTACGTTACCTGATAATAATATGATCGAAATAAGTTATGAGAAACAGAGGGCTCCAGAAATATTAATGTCACCAGAAAAGTATGGTTTAGAATTAAATTGTAAATGAGATTGCAATCTACATATTACTAGCAATTCCTGAAATCCTTGCCAATTCTATATAAAAAGTAGATTTAGATTTGCGTAAAACATTATACAATGAAATTGTATTGACAGGAGGAACTTCACTGATGCAAGGTTTTCCAGAGAGATTGATAGGAGAAGTTAAAAGATTGATTCCAAAAGATGCTAAAGTATGTATTTATAATAATAAAAGGTCAAAATATGGGCTCCTCCTGAGAGAATTACTTTATGTTGGTAAGGTGGTTCTATTTTATCTCATTTATCTTCATTCAAAAGTATGTGGATATAAAAAAAGGAATTTGATGATGAAGGTGAAAGAATTTTAATAAAAAAATAATTGTGAGCTTTTTTAGAGATCTTCAATTTATATATTTAATGTATCTATACTATCATTTTTCAACCTTGCCCAACCATAAAGCAAGTAATGATTTTCCTTTAACAGCAATAATCTTGAATCTGACCCCTGGAATATCACCGACTGCATGTCCTTTTCTTCCGAATCCAGCTACTGTTACTTCATCATTTTCATTTAAAAAGTTCAAACAACCATCCTTAGGAACAAAGGCTGATATTTTTTTACCATTTTTCTTGAGTAATACTCTAACACACTTTCTAACAGCAGAGTTTGGTTATTTGGATTCACTAAAATAGAATATTATAAATTACACTCCAATTTTTTCAACAACCAATCCTTTAGCATGTGATGCACCCATAAATGGATTTTTATATCTTGATCCAATCATAGCCTTGTTATATTCTTTATCAGCCCATCTATTAACTCTTCTATGATCTTTGAGCTTTCTTCCAGCTCTCATACCTCTAGGTTTACCAACACCCATGATAAAAAAATAAAAAAAGATTTTATTTAATTTGTTTTTTCAAAAATATTCATTTTAAATATTATGAACCTCTTGGATGTAATAATTAAGCACCTTTTATTACATTTTATTCATATGTTGATGTTGTTCCTCCTCCATGAGTACCACTCTTTCTTACTTCAGTCTCTTTTGTGACTGTTACTTATCTTTTTTTTATAGCTTCTAATTATGTTTCAGCCATTGTCAACTTCTCTGCTAAATCTGAATTCTATTCATTCACTTATTTAAACTTTTTCTTCCATAATTCTACTTCTCCTTAAAGACTTATAATTTATGTTTCTGATTAAGAATAATTCTCACACATCATTTCCAATTCCCTTATACGAGCATCCAATTAATCTAATTCATTGTCTTTATCATGTAATAATTATTTCAAATTCAATATCTCATTATCTCTCTATTAAATTTATTCATGACTCCCTGCTAAATCTTCAGATAATTCATTTATCTTCTTTTTCAACTATCTTATTTCTTCATCTAATCCTGAACTCTTTGAATTAGACTCTTAAAGTAACTTATATCTAGATTTCCATGATTCCAAATCCTCTAATAATTATTTATTTTATATTCTCATTTATTATTCTTAATTCCTTATCTCTTTATTAGCTTACATTAATTCATTAATCTAACTATCTAAATATTTAAATTACTCTTGTATCATCTTAAATATATGTAATCTACCCAC